CTGGCTAATGTGGCCCAGAGGTAGAGAAACAAGCCAGACAGTCTAAGAGCACCTCCCCATCCATCTCCTTCTGATTTGATGGACTGCCACCTTGGCCAATGCCAGGAGAAGGTTGACAAGGAGGTCACATGGTTTATAGATCCATTCCTGTTGAGCCAGGGATGGACTGTGCAAATATAAGCAGGTATGGAGAAAAGTGCAGCAAGAACCTAAGGAGAAGGTTCTGGAGGAGTTTGAGGCAGATGTGCAGAGCTCTGCAAATCCAAATATCTGCTTTATATCTGTTGGTAGCCACATACGTGCATGCAGATATCCATGGCTTGCTGCAGATGCAGATACAAATTTTGCATCTAAAACCCTGCAAATTGGTGGATATCTGTTTATATCCATGAGCATCCACATCTGCAGATGTGCTGAGGTTATCTGAAAAATTGACTACTTTATTGAGCTATCTAGATGAAGAGTGAGCACTTTTGTGTTTAGAGTAGTTTGTTACTGATTTTCAAAAGTAGATGAAAAAAGATAATAAAGTAAGTGGCTTACAGATTGTGTATCACCCCAAATAGCACATACATCTCAGGCTCTCTAAAAACATTACGGAATTATGCTATTCCACAACTCGTCAAAGCTGTGAGACCAGACAGCACAAAAGCAGACAATAGTAAGATATGATATTTTAGGATGGGGGAAATGGTAGGAGAAGGCATATATTAATAGTAAGAGAATGAAGGAGGTAGGGAGACGAGAGGGAAAAATATGGGATTAGGTGGAATGAAGGACTGGAATTCTTTAAGATATTTCAATATTTTTTATCCAGTGGGGTCCAAATCTCCAAAAACATATAACTGTTCTGTATAGCTCTTCTACTGCTAATTCAGGCTGTCTCTAGACTACACAGTTCTTCTGGAAAAAGATACACAAATTGCAAACCACAATTTGTGTCTTTTTCTGCTTCTTTTTTCAGAAGAGGCTTTTCCAACATTTGGCCCGTCTACACTGGGCCAAATGTCAGGAAAAAAAACCTTTTTCAGAACATCCCTTCTTCCTCGTAAAAAAAACATGTCTGCTCATCTGAAAAAAATTCCAGAAGAGCAGACACATTCCTTGGACATGGCAGAGTTGGTATCCCGGAAGAACTCTGCAGTCTAGACATACCCTGCTCCCTAAGCCTTTTCTTCCATATTTGTAAAATCATGCACTTGACCCTGGAGGCAGAAAAGAAACTAGTTACCTAAATTCCTGCTTTCGGCTCCTTAGTCTTAGTTTTGGAGCCAATGGGATGCAATAATTGCTGCTTCAATCCTGTAGGCTCCTAAACTCACTCAGCGTCTAAGTTTATTCAGTAAAAATTCCCTCTGTGCCTATGTGTCTGACACTGAACATGTGCACTGCTGCCTCCCTGTGCCGTTTTGATCAGACAGTTCTAGGTGTTCATTGAAACGCACAAGAACTGCAGAGGTTGGTAAACTGAGCTGAAAACCTGACCACATAGGACAAGTGTGGGCAATAACATGGCATGGTTTGCCAGGATTAGTCCCTGGCAAGCCACCACTGCTATATTTACCTGCTTGGGTTGGCTCAGGCATTAGCAATTGCAGCTGTTAAACGCGGATCACCATTTCCGGACTGTGGACCAGGACACTGCTTCCCACAGCTTGCAATGGTGATCTGCAGCCAATGTGAGCTATGATCACTGGCATCTGCGACCGTGCAGGTAAATACAGTGGTGGAGGCCCACCAGGAGCTAGCCTTAGTGGACCAGATCTGGATCATGGGCCAGTATTTGCCCATCCTTGACATAGGACCAGTGCACTGTCCATCAACCATTCACAAGTGCGTCACAAAATACCAGGGATTGTAGATCTCAGTTTTAGGACCTCTGATGGAGAGCATAACACAGAATAGACAATTGCATTGTAGGTCGGATGTCTCCAGTTGTGCATTGTGTAAATTAATTCAGCATGAGGAGTCTTCCAAACAACTGCAGGGCAGGAGTACAAGGGTTAGGGTTTTTCGTGACCGGAGTAAAAAGTTTTCATTCCATAAAAGTGATTTTTGTAGAGGGCAGTTTTGGAAACAAGCAGATATATTAAAAAAAAAAAAATACTTGAGCCATGGGTGGTGAGCTCTATGAGCCCTTGGTTCTGGGGCACCAGGAATATTCTTAGCCCGGAGTTTGGAGCCAACAAAGTTCGGGTCTGGGTCCCTCCCCCGGCTGCACGTGTGCAACCCCTCCAGTGCATTTTCCAGCCCCATATTGCTGGCCCCTGGTAATTTAAAAGAGCCTGGGACCTCCCACCCCATCACCACTACCATCGTCAGCAGGGCAGGGTCACTAGAGTATCCTGCAGGTGCTCCTCAGGGCTGCTGGTATGTCCGTATGGCCGGGGGAATGCATGTTTCTGTACACTGCCCCCAGCCCTGCAGCCAATGGTAAGCTGAAGGCAGTGGTACTTGCAGGCAGCAGTGCATAAAGACTCCTCCCACCTTCCCCCACCTGTCAGAGGGGGTGTCATAACCATGAGGGCTGACCAGCAGCCTCGTGGCTAAGGGGTTAACCTAGCCAGGTAGTTGGTCAGCCAATAACAATGCAGATAGGGATTTCAAACTGGGACAAAGGAACTACTTTGTCTGAGTCAGAGCGGTTTCTTCCATGTAACAGGGAGATAGGAAGGCCTGTCTCTCGCCCAAGAATGGACTTACAAGTGTAAGTAGGGAAAAGTCTAGATAATCCATCAGGCTTTATTGTTTTCTGGTTTGGGAATGTGGAATTGATATCTGAGCTGTTCAAAGTGTATTTTTTTCTTTTCCCTTTAAAAGTGTTTTCCTTTTGTAATTAAGTTTGAGCCCATGGGAGGAGGGGGATAGTCCCCCATGAGTATATCAAGTGGTGGCTCTTTTTCATCTAGCCACTTTATTATGCTTGCAACTATGGTGTTGTTTTGATCATAAAAGTTTGTTTTCTTTTTCTAATTAACCTGGTAATGGTTCATTTTTGTGTCCTGATGTTATCTTAGGGATGAAATTTCCCAAGTGATTTCTCCCCTGGTTTTCTTACAAATACTTGGGTGGTGGCAGCAGTTTTTATTCTCCAAAATCTGAGGAAGTGGGTCTGGCCCACGAAAGCTCATCATCTAATAAACCATCTTGTTAGTCTTTAAAGTGCTACATTGTCCTGCATTTTGCTTCAGCTACCCCAGACTAACATGGCTACATCTCTATGGGTATTAGGAGGAGGACTTTTGGAACCAAAGCCTATAGAGATAAGGTTTTGGGGCACTTTTGCGGGCCCCACTTTTGCATTTGTCATGCCAAAGTGGGGAACAGACTTGACAAGGGAGTTCCCCAGGTAAGCACTGCACCTACTACCCTCTCTCCCAGTACCCTCTCCAGCCCACAAATTCCTTCCCAGAGCTTGTACCCCTCACCCATGCCCCATCCCAGAGCATGCACCCAGACCCCATCTCACAGCCCGCATCCCTGACCCCCTCCCATACCTGCATTCCTTCCCCAAATCCAATCTCTTACTCCCCCCTGCACTCAAATTCCCTCCCAGAGACTGCACCCCGCACCCTCCTGCACACCCAGTCTCTGCCCCAGGCCAGATCACTCCCTGAACCTGCACCCCTCCCCCATCCAAGCCAACTCTGGGTGTTCTGGGCATCCCCAAAATGGCTGCAAATTTGCTGCTCCTGCTTGGAGCTCCCAGCTGTGAATGTCTCCCACTGTCTTTGATTTTTTTAATTAACTGATGATGAAATTAACAAATGTAACAAAGTGTAAATTCAAATCCACCTTCCACAATTCAAATTAAAGGTATTTTTAAAGGAGAGCAATTCTTCTTACCATTGGAGAGACTCACTTTTTCAAAAATATGTACATTACAATAACCTAAGGATTAGGAAGGTAGAGCTCCCATCATCAGCAGATTGGCCATTCCTTTCCTGGGTTTTGAACTCTACCTTGTTGTTCAGTCCTTATGTATTTTGAATTTTCAGTAAATTCCACATCTGAATATCTAAAAAACCATCCCATCCTTTGTGTGTGTTTTTTACAGATCAAATGGTCACAAAAGATTTCTATTTATTAGCTTTTAATCTAATTCTATCAAATTAGCTTTTAATCAAGGTCTAGGAGTGCCCAAATAGTTCCTTCTGCCTAAATTTGTTAATGTCAGAAGTTAACATAACATCAGTAAAATTCTGTGATCATCTCAGTGTCTAGAGCAGCATGAAATATGCAGAGGGTGGAATGCTGGATCAAAAAAGCCTGAGACTTTTCACATAATATTGATGAAAAGGAAGATTTAACCATTCCAAAGTCAAGTTAAAAGGAATTCAATATACAATACACATGATTTTATTTAGCTTTTCATTTATACCCATTTTCTTCATGCTTAGAAAGAAATTTCACATCAGTTTCTTAGCTCAAATCTGCATTACTGAGTGTTAGAAACTTTGCATATCAGTCTTTCAGAACATCTGACAGAAGCCTGAGCTCAATACAATTAAAGCTTACGCAGAAAAGTTAAATTAGTTTTAGACTCGTGCATAATGAATGGCATGACTTTGATTGCTTCTTCTTTATTAATTATGTTTTGTTACTTATTAATGCCTAGATGCCTGTTTTTAATTACATTTATAGCCATACTTTTCATACCCAAACACATTAATACATAATAATTCTATAATACATATAAATATTTGTATCAGCCTGTCTGTGCATAACCTATACAATTAATTTGCATGTTTGTATAGAGCTAGCATCTTGACATTTGGAACTATCATTCACTGAGGGATTTTTTTTAAATAACACGTGGGAAACTTGAGTTTTCTTGGTTTTATCAGACACTTCCAGTACCCTAACCTGCATATTAAGGATTTACGAGTAACACAATATTTTTTGTATGAGATGAACTTGTTGAGTATGAGGCCTCCAGTACAGGGAAATCAGTCTGAGCTCATCAATTTTTATTGATTTGTTGGTTTAGAGGACTGTTATAGAAATCAACATTAAATGATTGCGAGGGTGGAGGAAGCTGTTCCAGATTCAGCAGCAGTTCTATAGCGAGCTTCTCCAGCTCTGATACCCAAGGCAGCAGCATGAAACATGGAACCTTTAAAGAAAACTGACAGCTGAGTCATTTAATTGATGAGTCCAGTCCACTGACTCAAAAACCAGCAGAACTGTTATATGCAAATTAGCTGCAAGATGGCTGACGACTGGTTGAATTACTGCTGAAATCAAAACAGCTCAACTTCATACTTCTCTGACCTGTTGAGATGATCTTTCCTGTTGACATTATTCATATAAGTGAGTACAACCATTGTTATTAACTTTCTTAATTCCAACCTATTTTTTCAAATATAGCATTTGTACAAAATTTCAATTACGTTTTAATTATAGGGAAAGTTAGAGTCTGTGTTATTCCATTGTTTACATGGCAAAAAGACTTGATACAAGCATGACATTTCTGAATGGACCTATGTTTAAATTAATTCTAATTCTTAAACTAATTGGTAAAGTTGCTTTAAAAATCTAGGAAATGTATTTTATACACAAGGAACAAGTTTTCTAATTTGAGAGACGATATGTGGCATTTTTCATACATAATTAAGGGACTGAATTCATGCTTTTAGTACAAAACTGAACCTAGCCTTCATAATATATATGTGTATGTAAGATCAATAAATCACAAAACAAGTATATCAGACACAGTAATTTATTATTTTCTAATATGTCAAGCTATATGTGAATTTATACTTCTGGAGAGAAAGCAAGCTTTGGTTGATTTTTTTTTCAATTGATCTCTGTTCCATGGTTTTCAGTCCTTGAAATCTAAGACTTGTTTTATTTATTTCTGTCTATTGTTATGACCATTAATTTTCCTAAATGTGCAAATACCCTTTTACAACTTTGTAGTTCAAATGACTTGTAACTACTGTAGTTCTATTTGCAGACAAGTTTCATAGTTCAGTTTAATGAGGCTTCAGATTTATAATGAATTATTTTTAAGCAATAAAATTTTAATGATTGGGTTCATTACACTGAATTTTGAAACATGATATTTTCCCAGGCCCTAAAGCCTCACCAGAATCTTTCAGCTTCATCTCTGGCTTTCTAGAAGCAGACATGATTGATCTTTTGATTTGAAACCAGAGGGAAATAACTATCTAGGTCACTTGAAAAACTTAAATGGGCAGTATACACAAGGGTATCAATACTTTACAGTTAGATCAGTAGCTCACATAAGACAGTTTACTGGAAAATTTTACTTCATACTACTAAAAGCTACAATGCTCTCATTGCTGCATGTTCTTTGACTACAGCCATACATTCTTTATACTGGCACACATTAAAAAGTTCATTTGTTTTAGAGATGTGTAGCATATTCAATATGTGTAGCATACATCTATTGCCACAACCCCCCTTGTTTTCAACTCTTCTAAGCTATCATTCTTATGGCTTCCTGCCTGGAAAAAGACTATATAAAGTGTTACTATTCAAAATCACTTTGCACAGACAGTAAGTCAAAATTTGTTTTGCTGCGGTATTTTCACAAGGAACAGAGCAACCAAGTTAACATATGGTGGAATAGTTCCAGAAATGACAGTCAGAGCAGTGAGGTGCATGCTGTTGCTTCTTCAGGAAATGGTCAGGTAAATATAAAAGTTCTCACCCAACTTATAGCTCAGTGAGTTCTCCGTGCATTTAGGCTGGGGCTGCACACACTGGTTTTTTTTTAAAGGTTACAGAGGTGATTTGGGAGGATTGTTTAACCAATATAGTAATTCTAGTACAAGTGCTATTATGGACACAGTTATAGAAGATAGATTAAAGGTATAAAGATGTTGTGTACTGAGCTCTCTTAAACCCATATGGAAATAAACTTTACTCATATAGGCACATTTATACCATAATAGGAGGTTGTAGTGTTTTGACCATACCAGTATAGATAAAGAAGTACAACTTTTTTGATTCAGCAAGGCCTTAACCTGTCTGTAAGATGCTAAATACTGGGGGTGAGACAGACAAGCACTTCTTGTCTGACCCTGTGACAGGGCGGCAGAGCTCCGCACTTGCAGCTCTCCCCTTTTGTTGGGGGACATGGCGGGGCGCTGGCCATCGCCCCGCACGGTGGAGCCAAAGCAGCTGGACGGTGCATGCGCCAGCGGTGCCACATCACAGACCAGTTCACCCGGGGTTGCTGGGTAACCGGATGCCGCCCCAGCTGATGGGGCCAGTGCACGTAAGGCCATCCAGGGAGACGTGGGTGGCAGCAGTGCCACGCAAGGGGCCGCCTCACCCCGGGGTTGCCAGAAAACCACCCACTGCCCCAGCTGCAAGTGGTGGCACATTTGGGACCACACAGGGAGGTGTGGGCGGACGGCGCAAGACCCGCCGGCCGTGGGTCGGGTGACCTCAATGGAGACATCACAGGGTATCCTGGAGCAGAGGCTGGGAGGATAAAAGGGAGAAGGGAGGAGACAGGAGGGGAGGACAAAGATGTGGAAGGGGAGGAAGAGAGTAGGCGAAGGAGGGAAGGAGGACTGAAAAAGGGAGTGGGACCGGAAGAGTCTGGGGAGAGAGGGAGCCCGGACAAAAAGGGGCATGGTGAGTCTCGGACACCGGAGGGAGAACACCCAATGGAGGTGGAGCCGGGTGAGCCAAGAGGGGAGGAAGCTGCCCAGGGCAGGGCTAGGGAGGTAAGTCTGTGGACTGGTGAGTTAAGGGGTTATGCCTCACCAGTCAGGTCACACGAGGGAGTTGTGACTTTCCTTCGACCTTAGGGTCAGGACTCGGAAAGAGGGTGGGCCCGAGTCCCCCTTCCCCTCCTCCATGGCGCACTATCCTGGGTAACAGGAGCAGCATCTGTGGCGGCTGATAGGAGAATAGCCCTGTAGGGCCTGACGGGGCCAGTGACTAGAGGCCCAGACTGGAGTGGCCTTTTCACACGTGGTGGAGAATGTGAGTATCAATGATCCATCCCTGAGTTAAGGGGATCTAGGGTTTTCCTCTTGGTGGGTTCTGTTTTGTGTTTGGTTGAGGAGAGATTTAATTCCAGAGGGGAAGACATGAACATCATAGACATGGAGGTCAACAAGCTGCTGGAGTGGTTAATGGAGAACCAGCACCAACAGAAACAGCAGCAGACTCACCTGGTGCAGCAACTGGTGAGCCAGTACCAGGAACAGCAAAGACAACTGGTGCAGAAGATCGTGGACCAGCAACAAATAGCCAGATGGGGGCGTGCGTCGGAAGATCCAGCTTTGGGAGCAGAGGAAGACCTGGAACCTGGCCACAAGTTACCAATTCATTTATGGGAGCTGGGACCCGAAAATGACCCCGAAGCATTTTTGGTTATGTTTGAACAGGTGGCGATGGCAGCCAAATGTCCAGAGGAGCACTGGGCCACCCTTCTAGCACAGTACCTGTCGGGCCCCACCCAGTTGGCCTACAGAAGTTTGTCGGCAAAGGACGCCTTACATTATTTCAAGGTGAAGGAGGCGATTCTTGATCAGCTTGGGGTGACCCCAGAAACCTACCAGCAGCATTTTTGGCAGGACAGTACACACCCGGGGAGAGGCTGTGGATGCTGGCGCAGAGACTCCAAGAGGCATGCTGGCATTGGCTACAGCCAGAATCCAAGACAGGTGTCCAGATCACGGATAAGATTGTGCTGGAGCAGTTGTACATGTTTTGCCACCTGAAGGACAAAGCTGGGTACGCCGACACCCTCCAGCCACCTTGGATGAGGCGGTGACACTAATGGAGGATTATCTGGTGGATGAAGGAGTCGGGGGAAAAGAAAAGCCCCTCACAGGTCTGAATGCACTGAGGACCCCCTCCTACCGCAGAGGGACCTCCTGGGCAGGGGAAGGAAGGAAGTTGGCCCTGGTATGGAAAACCTCGATGAACCCCAGTCCCATACCAGAGGGCAAAGGAGAGAGAGGAAATCCAAGTGAAGAACCAAGTAAAAGGGGGGAGGAGTCCAGTAAGAGGAGTCTGATACCAATGCAGTCAAAAAGGACACTTCAGGAGAGAGTGCCCCTTAATGGACTATACATTTGGATGGATCACCGGGGCCTGCCCCGCCATCGAGGTGTCGCAGCTAATCCAACCCGTGATTAAAGTAAAAATGGAAGGGAGGTCACACAAAGCCTTGATTGATTCCGGCTCCGGACAGACGATGGTATGCCGACAGAGCGGCCAACCCATGAGGATGCAATGTATCCACAGAAAGGTGCGTACATACCCGACCATGTAGGTCACCCTTTGGGATGAGCACAGGGAGGGCCGCTGTTGCGTTGCCCTCACCCCCAGACTAGCGTACCCAATATTGCTGGGTAGGGACTAGCCCGATTCGTGCCGGATTTAAAATGGTGGGGTCAAGAGGCGGGCTCCACTGCAACGCAGGGGGACCAAGGTATAACATTGGTGGCCCCTAGGGTGGAGATGAGGAGGCCGCATCACGAGAATAGCCAGGAACGCACCTGGAATGCCGTGGACGAAGACGACCGGGCGCCATTTGACCTAGACATCAGAGAGGGGGACTTTCTGCAGCAGCAGCAGGAAGACCCCACTCTGCGGGGAGTGTGGGACCAGGCCGAAGCCTCCGCTGGAGAGGATGGGGTGGAGCAACCCCAGCACCAAGGACTACAATTGCAGGTATGCCGCGATCATCTGTATTGAGTATTGGCACCTAGAGAGGGCCTGGGGGAAGAGAGACAGTTACTGGTCCCAGGCAGCTGATAGGGGAATAGCCCTGTAGGGCCTGACGGGGCCAGTGACTAGAGGTCCAGACTGGAGTAGCTTTTTCACAGACCCGAAGAAGAGCTCTTTGTAGCTCGAAAGCATGTTTCTTTCACCAAGAGACATTTATCCAGTAAGGCTACATCTAGACTTCAGGGTTTTGGGGAAGAAGAAGCTTTTGTCAGAAGAGATCTTCCACAAAAACGTCTTGCACAAGAGCATGTCTGCACTGCAAAAGCGCATTGAAAAAGCAATGCACTTTTGCGAAAGAGCATCCAGACTGCATGGACACTTTAAAGTAAACACTGATTGGTATGCACGGAATGGCCACCAGGGCACCTGTGCTTTTTCCTCTTTCCTATTTTTGCGCAAAAAAACCCCTCTTCCCCGTCCACACGTGTCTTTTTGCAGAAGAACTCTTTCGCAAAAAGACTTCTTCCTTCTTCCCCATTTGTGCAAAACCGCGTCTGTTCTTTCGATTCTCTTGCACAAAAATGGGCTTCAGTTTTTGCAGAAAAACTCTGTAGTGTAGACATAGCTTAAAAGATATTAGCATACCC